GTGAAGATCACGCCATACCGTTTCTCAAGTGCCTTTGGCTGAAGCGAGGTTGTTCCGTCGCCGCCTGCTTCGCCCTCGAGCCCGGCCCCCTGAGAGCTGCGGTCTTCGCCTTCGAGCCCGGCCCCCTGAGTGCTGCGGTCTTCGCCCTCGAGCCCGGCCCCCTGAGTGCCGCGGTCTTCGCCCTCGAGTCCGGCCCCCTGACTCTTCCAGCCGCTGCCTTTGCCCTCATGCTCGGCCCCCTGAGTTTGCCCGCTGTGGCCTTCGCCCCTCCATGGACTCTGCCTTGCCCCCGAGCCGTCCGCCCGAGACCCCCTCCATGGACTCTGCCTTGCCACCGGGCTGTCTGCCCGAGATCCCTTCCGGGTCCTCCGCTGTGCTCCTGGGTTGTCAGCCCAAACCCGTCCTCCTGACCCCGTCCTACTGACCCCCTCCACCCACCATGGTGGCCCTAGTTTTGTGTCCCTCCTCCGATCCCCAAGCTGCTGGACGTTGTTTTTTTTGGACGTTTATTGGACTGTTTTGGTGTTTTGGGACGTCTGGGATGGTCATGCGTAACAATGTGATTATTTTCAACAAAGCACAAAGTTATTTGCTGGAGCCTTTAATTGCCAGGCAAACAACAGAAACTCTAAATTGTCTTTTATAAACTTTATTTTTGGTTTTTGCACAGATTAAACAGAAAAGGTGTATAAGATGTTCATTTGTTATCTCAAAAGGTGCAGCTTTTCCTGTTTCCTGTGTTTATGCTGAGCTAAGAACACTAGATGCTAACTGTAGCTATATTTAATATTCAGAAATGACGATGGTATCAATCCTCTGATCCAACTCTCAGCAAGAAATAGATTAGGTGTGTTTCCCAAAATGTTTAATACTCCTATTTCTCTAAATGGCCTCCTCTCCCAGCACTGCACAACATATTCTGACAAAGTCTTAGTTTTCTCTGATAGAGCCTCTCTATTTCTGCAACCTTCTCTTGTCGGGTTTAATTAACTGCAGCGTTTCAACTGCACCATTTCCAGTGTTCAACAAGCATTTTGTTTGAACGACCAGCCTCCGACAGATAATTGAAGGCATATCGACGCCTGCTTTGAGAAGGAAAAGTACGACAGGAAGTTACAAAGTTCTGCGAGAAAGACTTTGTCGGATGTAACCTCAAAGCTCTGGCAGCCCTCATTATATTGTCATCGACTGATCCCCGATAGGAGAAGTATGGTCTATATCGGTATGACATCCCGGGTGATGGCTCGGGGATCTGCTTGGCAGGTACATAACTGAGGCTCAAGTAATTGGGCTACAGGGGACCCTTTTGAGTGACCAAAGCCAGTGCGGGCTGGCAAATAAATTGGTAATGAGAAGCAGCAGAGGCCGGCATTCTTACATGCAATGCAATGTCATCTGCCTTTGGTAACACAAAGGGTGGCATCAAGGTGCACTGTTGAAGGAAGCTTCTCTGATATTTTGTTTTCCAAGCTATGCTTTTGCTCCTCTGCACGGTTTCAGAGGAGCTGTCACAGTCCAATTAGCAAGAACACGCAAGAACGGTAAAACAAAAGAGGGACGGCAGTATAACGTTACACAATCTGCACAGAGGCTCCACTGTTAATTGTTGCAGACCCTACAAGTGTCAAGGAATCTACTTAGATGCAACAACATGTTTCAATGAGATCCCATTATAGATGTAAAAGAATACGCTGTTTAAAGGTTCAATGTGGCACTGTCATAAATCACAGCTGCTGTTTGTTGCCGTGTTGTACTGAAGGTCACAATACATACTGTGAAAGAATGTTCAGTAATTCAACTACGATCCTGTAACATCTCTTTTCCCAGAAATATATTTCTAGCTTCAATTGATAATCTTTTCTGAGTGGAGTCTGTATCTTCTCTCATCGCTGCGCCGCTGCAGGGCTCCTCAGCCTGCTCTGATATCCTCTGACAGCGGAGTCAGGTTGATTTGAATTTTTAAATCGCCTGTTGTTTCAAAATCGACTGGTGGCCCACACGGCTGTTTCTCAGCTTTCCATACCCTCACCCCATTGTCCTCTCCGTGACCCTGAAAAGGATTCACCAGGCCGAGGCAATGAACAAATCTGTTCCATAACCATGGGCAACAGTAAATATAGGGTGACAGAGATTGCCATGGAATGTAGCGCTGATGATTGGTTCATGCTGAATGCTTTGTTCAGCCTCCCATGCAATAAATAACTGCCGTCCTGCCTCCCGTTCAGCTGGGGCTTTTTCTATAGACTCTACAAGTTTGGTGACATGCCACCTAATTACCCTTGAGTCCAATAGTAACACAGTCCTACTTATATATTCATGGAATATGATTTACGTAATCCACATGCTAATGCATTCATTTGGTGTCCATTTTTGCCTTGTGGCTATTTTTCCTGCAAGGAATAAAAACCTCCCATCACTATTGAAATAGACTGTAGCTTCTCCACAGGAGGAACATTTCTACTTCAACAACTGCAGGAGGTTACACCACATATTGTTTTCCTCATATTTTACATCCAATATTTACGTGGCTGCTTTCTTTATTGCAGCTGAACCTCTTAATAATAACTTCTCTACTACTCATAGAATATTAAAGGGGCCCTATTATGTAAATTATCAGGTTCATATTTGTATTTTGTGCCTGATCTTTGACATGTGTACACTTTAATGTTCAAAAAGCTCTTTCTTTTTCTCATGTCTGTGCTGCGGCACCTCTTTTCACCCTCTGTCTGAAACAAGAGCCTAGTCTGCTCTGATTGTTTAGAGATGTCCCGCCCCTTATCCTATTACGTACAATGTGTGTTGGAGTCCAAAAGAAGCACGAGTGTTACATAGTGATGTCACTATGTTAAGGAAGTAAACAAAGGAGTTGCAGGTAGGGGGGGAGTGTGTTGGAGAAAACTCCCTCTCGAGATAAACTTTGAGATTTTAGCATGCACCAAAACCTATATAACACACTACAGGAAAGGGAAAACCCCCAAAAGAATAATAGGGCACCTTTAAATGGAAACCCACGGCCCTCATCAATTATCTATATTTTACAAGATGGCATAGAGGTCTTCTTGTGTTTTTTGCTCAAAAAAATACAAATGTGCTGCAGCCTTGTACAGATATGGGTACCTAAACAACTACTAAAGTTGACATCCTCTGTACCTCATGAGTCGTGAAATGCTGTCAGTTGAAGCTTCTCTCAGATTTGTGGTGAATAAATTAAAACTTGTTCTGCTAAAGTTGAAGCCAAACATTATGGATATGCATCCTTCTTCATTTCAGCTGTAGCTAATGCCTACCTACATCAATAACCTCTTAATGATAACTTCTCTACTACTCATAGAGGATTAAGTGAATACCACAGGCCCTCATCAATTATCCATCTTTCACAGGAAGACCCCAAGGTCTTTTCGGGTTTTTTGTTTTTAAAATGTGCTGCAGCCTTGTACAAATCACACAAAGAAATGCTAAGCTAAAGTGTGCATCCTTTGTATCTCATGAATCGTGAGATGCTGTCATTGGAAGATTTTCTGTGTAGTAAGTCAAAAGTTTTATGTTAAAGTTTAACCAGCACTTGAGACACATACACATCTTGTTGCTATGATGGAAGACAGGAATCATTTGTTTCAAAAGACTTGGAGCTGGATGACATTTTTCTTAACTCACTTTCAAGGGTGTTGCACAACAAAAGCAAAAATACAAAACCATTTTCCTTTCAGGTTATTGCATGAGGTGACGTCATCAGCTCGAAGCACTTAGGTCTATTACCTAAAACATGTTAGTTTGATGTATTTCTCTTTTTTTCCAGGCACCACGCGGCTTCCTCGAGATGGGGAGGTGCCAGGAGTGGACTATAATTTTATCAGCTGCGGAGACTTCAGGATCCTGGAGGAAAGTGGACTTCTACTGGAGAGTGGGACCTATGACGGTAGGTATCGCCACAGTGTCATGAGAATATGAGAAACCTGCATGCACCCGTGAACACGATTCACGGTGACAGTTCCCTATAATGGAGTTAGTGTACGCTCGATATTCACGGTCATTATGACTTACAGGCTGCCTTAGTGAAATGTGACAAGCGGGACGAAATGTATTGATCAGTGAAACATGATTAAAGACTTGTTAGAAGTGACAGTCAGATTAGCGGCGATATTCACAGCCCTTCAGGTGAACTGTGTTCTGTAACTCAACACTTTGAATAAAATGGGGCCACTGTATTATGCAGACTTTGTATTTAAATATAAATTGGAAAACTGTAGAAATCAGGACAAGGGTGTCACTTTTTTTGTCAGGATTAAAATAAATCTTAGAAGAGAAAAGGTTTTGTCAGATGGCCTTTTGGAACCAGATATAACCAGAGGGTAATGACAGATATGGTATGCATATGAAGATTTCTTAATTTAATTATTGTAATTGAAATAAAAAACTGACTCCACTTGTTGTATTACTTTTCAAGCTCTGCCTATTCTCGTTAATGCAAGCTACATTTATTACATTTTATACAAATATACATGTGAATATTATATTATAAGTCTTTTTTTGCAAAGGGGACTTATTATGCTTTTTGTTGTTTTCCCTTCCCTGTAGTAGTGTGTTATATAGTTGTTTGTGAATGGACATGGTCTGCAAAGGCTAAAATCCCCAAAAATCCAGAGGAAGTTTATCTCCCTCAACCTCTCCCTTTTTAGTTTACAACCATAACATAATGACATCACTATGTAACATTCCCAATTATATTGGTTAGCGCTCCAACACATTGCTCCCCGGCCCTGTACACTAGCTGCCCACTGCTCCTAGTACTAGACTCCTGGTATTAGGATGGGTTAAAAGCAGAGGCCAAATGTCACTGTGTGTGCTGTGTGCTCTGCATGTGTGACCATTAAAGAGGGCTTCATCCCTCCCATTCTATTATATTCCATTGTACGTGGTAGGCCAAGGGGCTGGACATCTTTAAGCATTTGACCAATATCAACAGAGCCGGCCTGCTAACCAACCGGAAGAATTAGCTCTGGTTTCAGACAGAGGGTGGAAAGAGGTGCTGCAGCACATGCAGTATGAGAAAACATGTTGCACTATTTGCACATTAAAGCATGGAAACATGTCATAACAGAGGCAGAAAATACAAATATAATACCTGAAAATCAGCATGTGTCTGATATATGACTTGCTTCTCTGTGTTTTTTGTGTCAGCATGTCTTTGTCTGTTCTTGACAATATACAGTATATATTCACATAGTAGAGTCTGAACATGCGATCAGCTTTAGCACCTCATCATGACCTTATTATAAACCAGTAAACCAATAAAACCAACCTCCTCCTCCTCCTTCTTCTTCCTCATCTCCTCTCACAGACACATTCAGTAAGCTTTGGCTCATTTAAAGAAAACTATTGCATTTTATTTTTTTAGAGCTCTTTTGACTTCCCCTGCACCTGGCTGCTGTAAACATGTCAGTAGCAATGGATATTTTACAGCAAGACAAGTCCAGTCATGTTCCTTGCAGTAAGAAGTTTACACAAGGAGGGATATTTCAGCTTAGCGAACTGCCGAATAGCAAAGTATTTACCATTTCTAACACCTCATACTACAATGGAGCATAAGCACTTGCATTGAAAGGTCTTGGAAAGTCAGACTGTTGCAGTGTATTTATGTCATGAGGGGATTGGGAAGGGGGGATTTCTCTCACATTGCGCAATGATTATAGCAATAACATGGTAATCTTCCCCTCTCTTTAAGCTCATTCTTTCTTACTGTAAATCCAGGCTGCTGTAAAGTGGAAGGGATTTTTTTTACTTTAGAGGCAACCTCTGGTCTCTGCTCCATTCACTCGCTCCCATTCAGCTGCATCTCGTGCTTCCTGTAGGATGAAGAATTTAAAAGATAAAGTAAAATCCTCATTCAGTGAGAAAGCTCCTTAAGTCTGAGAGTAGCTTCTTCTAGGCTATGCAAGTGAAGTTTGTGAGTGTGCTCTTACGATTGGTCAAGTGCCTTCCTGTGATGAGCCTTCCAACGGGCTCTGATCCCTGTGATAAGGTTTCAGTCCCTCCTCTCACCTCTTGTCCTTGTAGCACAGTGGCAGAAACAAATTGTAAACGCACACACACACAAATCCCGTCCTTGTGTCGAGATAGATCATCTAAGATCATGTTTCAGGAGCTGCCAATCGCCCGCGAGCTGTCCGTCATCTGTGAGCCAAGGCCAGGAGGGATTTACACCTCCATATTGAGGTTGACCGTGGGTAGAGAGGGAGAACTGGAGAGCAAACTGAAGAAGAGTGCAAACGTGAGAGGGAGAGAGTGGACATAGAAGCATGCTTAGCCCTCAGCTTCCAGGAAAACCCCTTCTGCAGTGGAAGCTGAGCTGCCTGGGCTGCGTTCAGATGTGAGGATTAGCTTCTGAGAAGTTGGACAGTTTGAGCATACTATCCCTGAGAAAGCACTGAACAATCTGATAGTGACTGCCACCTTCCCCCCTCCTCTTCTTCTTCTCTTTCTCTAAAACCCAGTCATCAAAAGCATGGCCTCTTTGGCAGAGAGCGCTGATCTCCCAGCAGCACAGTAGACTCAAAGAGGAGCTGAAAGTAATTGGATCGAGGAATGGCACTTACTCCATTTGTTTGCGGTTGAAGCGCAGCCTTGCTCTTTCTTTGAAAAGAGGAATAAACAAGGTCAAACATCCTCTTGCATAGGTCGCGAGAGTGGTTGAATTACCTTTTAGTTTAACCAACAGTGAGTGAGTTGTACTCAAAGTACCGAGCTAATGGGATTCTTCAGCTAATCATAATGTTCTCGCTAATAGTCCCAAATGACTTGCCGGGATGCTCATTACGTTAATGGTTCATGTATACCGCTTTTTCTCCACCTAGAAAATATTTCATAGGAGGCATTAAACGCATTTATACCTAATGTTTAACTTAAACACCCTCTCCTGACTCAATCATCCTGCCATCCATGACCATGTTAATGCCCCACATCCTCACAACAAGGCAGCTGAGGGGTCAGGACACAGCACACTACCCAGGGTTAGTCTATTTATGAGGGTCCTGGCTGCTCTATGATTGGTAGGGTACATGCTGGCTGCTCCATGTTGGTCCGGAGGGTCTCAGGTTGCCTGCCAAGCAGACACATCCGCCATCTGCGCCAGGCACTGAGAGTGATTCTTTTCTGGGCCTTTGGTCCCCGTTTAGTCTCTATAAGGTTCAGGTTGGGTCACTCTCTCAGCCAGACATGAAGTGAATGGTCCAGTGCAGTGAAGTGCAAGACTGGAGGGACAGCTGCCAAGAAAAATGAAATTCTACCCATAGAGGGTTTTTTTCTCTGGAAAATGACATCTCTTATCTGCTATCAGGGAAGGCAAAATTCTGCCAAATTGAGATCCATGTCAAATCTGTTGTTTTAGGATCCCCATTGTGATAATGGGTGGGATTTTAACGAGGAAGGGAAACAGACTTGCAGATTAAATTGGATGTGAGATGGGAGTGCAGCACTCACGCATTAGGAGTGTGTGTGTGGCTGTCTGTTAGTGATCTCGGTAAGATTAACGTGTGCTCATGACCTTGTAGTTTATGCATATTGCCCTTGACAACAGGAGCCTTTTCATTACCGGCTGCTGATTCCACCACCATGAAATCGCTCTCACGTACTTTGACAGAGGAGGTTCGCTCTTCCTGGCTCATCAACCCCGGTGACACGAGGATCACAAGTAACGTCGGACAAGCTCCCCTGCTCATCAGCTTATGAGGCTTCCCTCCATTGATAAAGGCAAATGGTGCCACAAATCCTCGCCGACGCGCTGCTTTCACACACCTCTATATCAGCAACACACATTTATCAGAGTCCAAGAGACATGTTTGTAAGTAATTAATCACGCACGTAGCGTCTGGCAGATGAATGTCAGCGTGCGGCAGGAGACAGGCGGGGATTAGCCAGCAGACCCAATCTCACCCCGATATCGTGGCGCCACCCCTGTTAATGAAGCCATCTTTGACAAATGGGGATGAGTGTTGCTTAGTAAACACCAAAAGTCGAGCTACGAGGTGGGAGGAGCGGGCTTTCATCCAGCCTCCTTCTCCTCCTCAACCTTCCCACTGCTTTCAGGGAGATGAGCTCGGCTGCATTAACCCAGTTGCTGGGTATTGTATCTGGAACGCCCGAGGTGATGAGGCCCTATGCTGGAGATGGGCTCACTTATCAAAAAGGCTGTTGTGGCGTTGCTGTGTCGTGCTGTAAAGCTGCTAAAATGACTGTGATGTGCTCCTCAGAGCCCTCTGTTCTTCTTGGCATGCACACTGTTGTCAGCTTTCCCTCTTTGTACCGAGCTATAAAAAGATCTGCAGTTGATAAATGTTGCTCCTACAGCACAGTATTTGTGATGCCAGCATGTTCATGCATCAAAAGGTTCATAATACCACGTCCAAATGAAAATAAGATAGAGTTTATGGAGGCTAATTAAATTGCAGAAGATTTCCCAGCAGTATGCCCCCGTATTCTTTAATTAATCTGATTATAAATCGCAGACTCAATCTGGTGATCACTTATTGTAAGAACCGAATAAATATTTGACATGAAAAATGGATGTTTAGAAAATGTATGTGATATTACTGCGTAAACACATCTGATAGAGCAGCATTTAGCAAACAAATAACCATTATAAATGATTAGAATATAAATGAGTATGCACATTATTTATAATCCTAATGGAGGTTGAATAATTACTTCTTCTACGCCTGAATTGAGTTCCACATACTGCTCACCAGCCATACATAGATGGATCGCCCCATGAGCTAAATGAGCAAATAATTTAACTGAGTTTTGCTCTCTATCCCCTCTCTTCACGGAGCCCTGGTATCCCACTGAATATTCATAATCTGTAACACAAGGTTTCTCTTCATTTAAAAAAAAGCAAGATAATTGCTGTATTCAATGATCAGTGTAATTAGTTGCTTGCAAATTCCAAGTGAACTGATGTTAATGTTACATGAGTCATGACCGCCCTGCGGTGCAGTTATCGAGGGAAAACAATGCAGGGGGTTAAGAGACGTGAAAATCATGCAGAGCAAGCAGACCTCTGGAACTTGTGAATATTCGACCTTCAGCGCTGTTGTGTGACATTTAGAGAATTGAACCAGATTTAAATCGGGTGAATTGGAGTAATGTTAGGCATGGTGCAAGATATCTCTGTGTGAGTCTCATTCTCTTACTTAGCAAACATAGGTGTAGCGTACAGGTAATAGCACTACTGTACATGATAGTAGAACATTTCGATTTTTGAGGGGCCACAAATATTTGTTTATTTGCGTTCTTTAAATTACAAAATTATGATTCATCGTTTTCAAAATATTTAATTATTATCTTTCTGTTGATTTATTTAATTGAGAAGTCAACTTTGCAGCCATTATGTTGGTCTGCACTCTAATTGCCTTTTCTGTGGCTCCTTATCTACTATAAGGTTACATTATTAATGTATTCCCTTCTTCTCTTCCTCTCTCTGCTCCTCCCATCCGTTACTTTCCCTCCGTATTATGCTTTTTTGGAGTATTCCCTCTCTTGTACTGTGTTGTATACGTTTTTGTGCATGCAAATGGTCTGCAAAGGCTAACATCGCAAAGTTCCTGCCATAGGGAGTTTCTCTCCCCGCCTGAAAAGCCTCCATTGGACTCCTTTGTTTGTTTCTGTAAGGTAGTGAAATCACTGTGTAACACTCCAGCACATTGTACATGATAGGCTAAGGAGTGGGAGATTTTCGGAACACTCTAAGCGGTTGACCAATCACAACACATCCAGCCAGCTAACCAATCAGAGCAGACTGGGCTCTGCCTTCAGACAGAGGGAGAAAAGAGGTGATGCAGCACAGGCAGTATGAGAACAATAAAGACCTTTTTGAACATTAAATCATGTCAAGATGTCACAGTAGAGCACAAAATACAAATATAAACCTGTAGAGAGTAATGTTGCCAATCTGCACTCTAGCTGCCTTTCCTTTTGCTCCTTATCTGTTTGGTTGCATTATTTTTTTATATAATTATTCTCCCTCTGCCTCTCCCATCCTTCACTCTTTAAGGTAATTATTATGGAACCCCGAAGCCTCCGGCGGAGCCTAACCTGGTGCAGCCTGACCTGGTGGATCAGGTGCTGTTTGATGAAGACTACGGCGGTGATCTCCCTAGGAAACGAACCACCTCTGTCAGCAAGATGGACAGGAAGGACAGCGCGGTCCCCGAGGAGGAAGATGATGACGAGAGGCCCCCACTGGTCAACGGATTGCCCGGTCAGTAAATGTCAAAGCATAGAATGTCATGTTGAAATCTGAGAGATTCTGCTCTACTCTGTTTGTCATTTGGATGTGGAAATGCCACAAAAAATTAGAGTCATTTTCACTGTCTCTTGTAAGACAAAAGACTGGATTGTTACAGATTGTATACCGTTTGATGGGCACTGTGCACATCTCAATCTGTCACATGAAATGGCTTTAAAAGCTTGTCTAGCTACACCCTACGGAGCAGCTTCATCCTCTCTCCTAAGCTCTCCTCCCACCCTCTTCTCATTCTTGTGTAATTTAAGGTGGTAGTAATGTGCAAACTCAGATCATTTTATTTATACTTTTGTATTCCTTTAGTCTTTTAAAAGACCAGGTGAGAGAGTTGTTGCACAGTAACATGTAATGGCTGTTGCAAACTCTTTAAACCTTTGAAAATGACTTAGATGCAACAGACATGTTTTACCTGTAAGAACTATTTAACCAAATAACAAAACAGGTTAATTAACACTGATATCAAGCAATGCCTTTTTTAAATATCTTTACTAGACATTTATGTCACCACAACAATGCAACAGAGGCCTATCGTTTTTTTACATTAGGGCCATCAGTGGAGAAGATCCATCATTTTGGATCTGATCTGGAAAAATAAAAACATCTACATGAAGCCAATGGAAAGTCAGAAACATCCCTAACACTCAGTGACTAAGACCTCCATCAAGGCCTTTTTCAAAAATGATGTGTATATCTGCCCCATGTTTTGGATCCGCTCCAAAATGTAATGGGTTCTTCCTTGGCCCCTACTACACCCTTTCAAAAGGTTTAATAAAAACCTGGCCTAATCCTGCTAACAAACAGACCAATAAAAAAACAAGCGGTAATCATACTGTAACCCTCTAGGCAGAGTTAATTAGATCCAATCCAAATGCAATTGTATTTGACCCAGATAAAACATAGGCTCTGACTCTCTTCTCCATTTGGAAATTTGAGCCATTTATATTTTTGAAATATTAGCCCACACCTGCAGCAACAGATAACACTAGTTCGACTCTTTGTTACAGAAACGGTGCCTTCCATTATTCTGGAATAGAGGCAAAACGATAACTCCATTAACGGATTAGTTGACCAACGACAAATTACTGGCAAACAAGGAAAGGGCAAATATTGTGGTGGTTTCGCAATTAGATGTTAGTGTAAACTCTACTAATCCTATGGGATTTAGACTGTTAGTCATATTAAAAGGGTACATATATTTTGGTACAACTCTCCTACTTCCAATGTCGAGGGAGATGGTTAGAAAGAAGGCATGATGATGTCAAATATTTCAGGAACTCAACAAGGTCTGACAATGAATGTGTTTTCCAAGTGTTGCTGGAGATTTGACCTCTTCAGTCAGTTGAAATCAAGCATTTGTAAAAGGCATCTTGGACTCTGGAAACTCATGATGGACATTGTTTTTAATGGTTAATTAATGAATCATTTTATCAGATTAGACACTAATTGCAGACCATCTGTGACAAATGTGCAGACGCCACTGTCAGCAGTCATTATTGTCAATATTTCAAAACGTAAGCAACCATAAAAATCATATTTGCATGCCTTTGTCTGTGAATAAACCATTTTATTCTGATCTGCTACCACATTCAGTGACTAAACATGGCCGACATGCTGTCTCCAATGACAGTGACAATATTGACACACATATTCAAATGTACTGCTGGCTACAATGTTGGGAAATCTTTCGCCGCCAATGCTGTCCTAGACTCCCCCCCCCCCCCC